AGGGGTGCAATTGTTAAACATAACAAACTTAGGAACCGAGTTATGATGAGTTAAATTTGAAAAACTGGGTTTACAATTAAATTAGAAGTTGAAGGACCAATTGGACTAACTTTTCTAACTTAAGAGATCGAAATTAAAATGAGAATAAATTTAAAGAGTTAAAGTTTATATAAATACCCTACAGTTTAGCGTGATCAACAAAACGGCGTCTTGTCATTAAGAAGAGAGCCATCTCAACCGTTAATTTGGGGTTAATCCCGACATTGGTTTATCTAGGGGCTGCCCTCTGTCTGTTTCTTCGTTCCGTTCTACTTACCTCCGACAAGGCCTCCGCGACTCCGTCCGCGACTGGGTACATAGATAATTTTCTGCTCACCGGGAGCTTCCACCCCCCCCCCCCTTGTTGAATCTCTTCCAACGCGCCTCGCTAGGGAACTAGTTTGTGTTCTTAACAGAGATTTCGTCCCCATTGCTGGGGCTGCGAAAATAAAACTTAAATTTTGGTGGGCTTTGCTAAGACAACTTGCTTTTCTCATGATAATTGATATCCCACTTGTTTAGGCTTGCTTTGCTTCATCTTTCATAGGCAGGGCAAGTCTGGAGATTAGCTAAAGCCTTTCCTGGAAGCCTCGGATTCCATTGTTTTTTAAGGGATTGTTCATTCCTCAGTGGGCAGAATCTTCTTCCCCGTCCGAATGGAATTCAAAGTCCAAGCAAGCAACCAACGCACTTTTCAGGGTAATCACGTTTCCATTCCGGTATTTACGTGTTTTTTGACATCAACCAAACGGGTGACCAAAGACTTTATGAGCTCTCTAGTTGCGTCTCGGTTCAAAGGTTTCAACTGAACCTATGGCTGTCTGGGCGACCTTTACGAGAAAGGTTTCTCTAAGCACTTTCCACTTCCTCCTCGCACACTTGTCTCATCAAATCTCACAGCTACACCTCACCATCTCTCTCAGGCTTTTTCTCAAACGGTTTCGCTACCGGCTCACTCCCTTAAACCTTCATTCTGCTATGTCTCTCAAGCTCTTAAAGACCCCATCGACTTCATTGCCGATAAGTTCCATTTCCATGGGGACCCACGTAACCCAGTTCTACAGCAGTTCCTTGAATTGCTCAGAAAGGTTGCTTATAATTCGTCAGAAGCAGAGGCTATGTCCTTTCTCGATGCATCAGGTATCAAGCTAATAGAGATTTAATTGGTTCGACTATTTGGGAACTGAGGGAAGAGTGTAAAGCTGCTTTTTTGGCATTTGAATGGGGCAAGAAGTGGAATTGCTACGATGAAAATGTTTATCAATTGATGATATGGGTTTTGGGCCATCATCAAAGTTTTCCACTGCGTGGGGTTTGATTCAAGATATGCATCGGTCTTCTCTGTGTATACGGCAGGCTATGCTTATTATGATTGAGAGGTGAAATGACCTTTGCCCTTGAAACTCTTTCTGGCTCGTAGAAAGTTTTGTTGTAACATGGTTAACATGGAGAGTCAGTAATGAATTTTCTCTTGCGCCTATGCCAAACATTACATCTTCAATTTTTCAAATAAAATTTTATGAAATTACCAGCTTTCTTAGAGATTATCTGCGCTGAACTCAGTGAGAACAGGATCATAACTTCAAATATTCTGGCTCTGTGAAAAAATTTATAGTCCCAGTAGTTCCTTTTCCTTTTAATAATATATCTCACGTAAACTTTTCAAAAAATGTGGAGTGAAACTTGTATTATTATATTAAGAAGTACCTCACTGCACGAAGTATCTGATTGATTTCAGTTTGACCTCCTTTGGCTGACTCTTATTTTGCTTGTTTACTTACATTTTTAGATGGGCATTACACTAATTATCAAATCATATTTAGGGTTGAGAAGTTATCCCTTATCTTTGCTGTTGGAATCATTTGAGTTAACTAGTAACGCAGGATACTCTTTTGTAGTGATCTTCGTTATTATTTGAATATTAGATTTTTATTAGTCAGTGTGCTTACATTCGATTAATCAATCTTATCGGTCTGTCTACTTTTATATGTTCTTAGTGGTACTGTGTTGGTAAATACATGAACACTTGATAGTGGCATCTCAATTCCGTCAATAACTTTCGTTCTTTTGTCCTCTTTTGGCATTTTGCTTCAATTAGATATGCACTTGGAAATGACTCGGCCAAGGCTATCCAAACATTCAACTTCATGGAAAAGTTCAGAATGACCCCTGATCAGGAAGCATTCCATGCTTTTTTGCATGCACTTTGTAAGCATGGGCACATTGAGGAGGCTGAAGAGTTTATGCTTCTGAATAAGAAGCTCTTCCCACTTGAGACTGAGAGTTTCAACATTATTCTGAATGGGTGGTGCAACATATCAGTAGATCTAGTTGAAGCGAAGAGAGTTTGGAGAGAAATGTCAAACTATTGTATAACACCCGATGCTACCTCATATAGCCATATGATTTCTTGCTTTTCAAGGACGGGAAATCTTTTTGACTCGCTTAGACTTTATGATGGGATGAAGAAAAGGGGTTGGAGCCCTGGGATGGAGGTGTACAATTCTTTAGTTTATGTTTTGACTCACGAAAATTGCTTGAAGGAAGCTCTGAAGATGATAGATGATATGAAAAAAGGTGGCTTGCAGCCAGATTCTGCCACCTTTAACTCAATGATACTGCCTCTTTGCAAGGAAAGAAAACTAGCGCATGCAAGAATCTTATTAAATACAATGGTAGAGGAGAATCTTAGACCAACAATTGAAACCTTCCATGCTTTTCTTGAGGGAACAGATTATCAAGGGACATTGGAATTTCTCAGTAGGATGAAAAGTGCTAGTTTAGGACCTAATGGCGACTCCTTTCTTATACTTCTTGAAAAATTCTTCAAGTTGGAGCAACCTCTAAATGCATTGAAAATTTGGCAGGAAATGAAAACTTTTGAAGTACTGCCCAGTTGTATGCATTATAGAAGAATGGTAGAAGGTCTTGTGACTTGTGGATGGCTAGTTAAGGCCCGGGAATTTCACAAGGAGATGATATTAAATGGATGTTTGGAAGATCCAAGGCTAAAGAAGCTCTTGCAGGGAGAAATGCCTGATAATAGTGATAAAGATAAACAGCATGTTAAAATGACCAACTTTGGTAAAAGACCCAATCATTTGAAACGCAAGATGAAACGGAAGAATCCATGAGAGGCCCAAGAAAGAGGAGAATCTCAAACTTAGGACTGCAATTACAAAAGCTACCACAGTTTATCTTGTTAGTCAACCTTTTACCGTAGAGAAGACCATAAGATCAATTACATGAAGCAGGCTACTTTTTGCCCCTTCATGAACGAGCAATTCTTGCCTGCATATGATACATGCATCCAATGGTTGTGATTGTGTTCGTAGATGAAGAGTTCACACAAAGAGACAAGAAATTTTCCAAAACCTGAGCCAACCTTTGATTGTTTTGGTTTTCATATCAAGAGCATGTTTACTGAGGATATGGGATAGACTTAAGAGAGGTTGTTGTGTATTTGACCCTCTTCTAATATTCTTTATGGGTGATATGAATGTAGACCCGATCTTATCAGGACATTCTCTTTTTGCGAGCTTATATTTGCAAACATAACAGGGATATATTTGCTACTGATGTGCCTCTTTTGTTTCCAATTTTCGCTCCTTTAACAAGATTGTATATTTGCTGGTCCTAAATTTTCACCTTAAACTTTCACTGGACCTTTTGTCCTTTAAACATATTATTACTATTACTATTATTCCTACTACTACTACTATTATTATTATTATAATATACTGCTTTTATTTTGGGGGGGGGGGACTACATGTTCTCTTCCATTTGCTAACGGTGCGCAGTGGCGGGAAGGAAGACACGTGGTGAGAAGATAATTAAATCCTAATTGCATAGAGTTTCTTTTATGGCCTTTTGGAGTATCATATTAAATAGTGTGTGTATCTCTCTCTTTATATATCGTTGAAGAGGCGGATGAAACCAGGTGCGGCTACCAGATTGGACCGTTTGGTCATCTCACATAAGTCACTGGTTCTTTGAATGCGTAAGCCATGAGCTCGCAAATTGATGTTTTCGTCTATTATTATTTTATAACATATTGTTTGACTGTCCTGCAGCTAAATCCAATCCCGTTAGTTACGTTGATTATCTATGATAGAGAGAAATGAATCAATCGATTTACTCCTCTGGTCCTTATTATAAGACCCATTTGACTTTTTGGTCCTAATTATAAGATCCATCCATTTTGTCTCTTATATTTATTATTTTTTTCCAAGATAATCCTTCTAATAATGATAGTTTTACCAATATAATTAATCAAGGATATTTTATGAATGACAACACTTATTTATTATAAATAACCAACTTAACTTACTTCCTTAATCTCCTCAAATAAGTCAATTGGGTCTTATAATTAGGACCGGAGGAGTATTATTTATTGCATATAATTAAGGTATTTTTGGAAAGTTTGGTGAATTTCAGATCATGAATTAATTTTTAAAAGTGACTTTGTCAGAAGTTAACGTCCATTTTTAAAAAAGATTGAAAGAATAATCAATAGAACAGTAGATATAAACAAAAGCCATCATGAACAGAAATTATTTTATTATCTTCATTCTTCAAATATTATTAAAAGGTAACATCTTTCCAACCTGGTACAAAAGTAACACCAATGCCAATATATATAATAGATGCTTATTCAACAGAACGTTACAGAGACAAGCTCGCTGACATATATCCAGAAACACTGGACTGATCAAACTTATTGTAGAGACAGTCTCTAAGAGGAATTAAGGTTTCATTTCAGCTTTAATGGCAGCAACTAGCTGATCATAAGCTACTCCCCATGCATTCTTCATGTCTGGTGACCACATTTCTGGCACTGCTTCTTTTATGACTTCCATAAGTGCAAACTTCGTAACCTTAACAACAGCGAAAAACATTAGGTCACACATCAATCTTGCAGAAAATAACTCACCAATCAGAAACATACACATTGACGCCTCGATAAGTTCATCATCAGAGACTGAATTTTTATACGTTCAGATGTTCTATGAATGATTTAAGTTTACATGTCATTGGCATAAATTTCTTTAGAATCTTTGAAGAACATAATAGCAATCATCTGAAGAACTTCATCTCTAAGACCTTAACTATGTAAACTTTTCTGATAAACAAACTGTTAAGTAAAATACCTCAAAATGCTCATTCACCACGCCAGTTTTGAAATGGACAGCACCTATTTTTTTCAAGGTTGAATCTCTCACTGTGACTTTACCAGCCTTCCGCAGCTGAACTGCGGATTCACACGTCTGCAATAAAAAATTCAGAGAAGATAAATATACATATACATACATACATATATATATTCATCAGAGGACATACAAAGAGTAAAGTTGATGGAGGTCAGAAACAGAGTAAGCTCACCATGACAAAGACATTCACGGCATGAGGCTTGAGCTTTGGGTTTTGCTCCAAAGGAACTTTTGAATCTCTCAAGAAGGAGAACAAGTTCTGAGCAGATGGGGCAATCTCAAATATCCTAAATTTAAACAGAAAAGAAGAAGAAGCATAAATAGTGATTAAGAAGTCAGCGAAAGATGAAGTGAATATCAGTAGAAGAAGATTCGTACTTCAAGAAAAACTTGAGACCCAGCTCTGCAGAATTCTTCTTCATTACTTGCCATGACTTCACAACGAGCGCTTCTTGCTCTTGGGTGAAACATATTGATCCGTCGGTTTCGGCCATGTTGTCGAGTAATCGCAGGATTTCGAAGATGTTAAGAAATTACGGTTTGATTTATGGGGGTGGGGGTTGCTGTGAGATTTATAAGGACGATGAAAATGGCCCTTGAGGCCAACGGGGAGCCATTCTCAGAAAGCGTAAAAAGATTTGATTTTGATTAGCTCCCGTTAATAGACTAGTTAGAACCTTCCAATATCTCCCTTGGAACATGTTGCATTAGAGAAGGGAAGCGGTGACCCGTAAGTGGGAAATTTTACCAAATTTCTTTGAAAAATATCGTAACATAGATGATAGATATTTGTTTATGTAGAAAAGGTGGGTCCTAAACCGGGGGCTGCTGGCGGCGACACAAAACGGTGGATTTGATCGTTGACTCATGGTTGCGTCAGCCAGGAACTCACAAATTGATGTTTCGGTCAATTTATTTGATAGCTCTGTTTATCATTTTGGTCTCTGTAATCCAATTCTTCCACCCTTCCCCCGTTTGATACTCCATTGTTGTCAGTATAAAACTTAATTATTAAGTTAATTTTAGTTCTAAATATAAGAGTTATTTTTATATTTATCAATTTTTTTAAATTACCTCTATAAATGTTCTCTCAATCATAATTAAGTAAGAGAAGGAGGAAGGATATTAAGAAAATCGATTGTGGTATTTTAGAAAAAAAAACATATCATATTTCTTATAATTAATTAACTTACCCAACTTTCTTAATCTAATCAAACTAGTTAAATAGGTCTTATATTAAGGATTGGATGAATATTATTTTAGCCAATATCTAACCCTACTTGAATTAAATATTTATGGAAGTATGTTGACCTCAAAAAAAATACAAGTGCTTGTAATATACTTTCTCTGGTTCTAATATAAGAATTAGTTAACTAATTTAAATATATTAAAAAAATTTGTTAAGTTAGTTATTTATAATAAATAAATATTATCTTCCATAAAATATTCCTACTAATCATATGTATTAGTTAAAATTATTATTTGATGAAAACTTTTGATATATACAACTATTACAATGACTATTTTGAAAGAAATAGATAAGTATGAGAAATAAAGTGAAATAACTTCTTATATGTAAGAACAAATTGAATATTAAAATAGCTCTTATATTAAGAAAAAAAGATGATACATTATTTTTAATTGAGTTCTTGTTTTTTTTATTTGGCCAGAAAGAAACGTCGGTGTATCTTTTCCTTCTCACGGGGTGCTTGGTTTTTTATATCCTCTCTCTCTCTCTCTCTCTGTGTGTGTGTGTGTGTGTCTCTAAGAAAATGAATCACATGGACTAAATAAAATCAAAATCAATCAGGTAACAGATTGCATATAGATGTAAGAAAATGATTATAAGAATAATTATTTTTTTTTATATAAACTCTATTGTTTTGTATTTTTTGACAACTTAGATGCCTTTTGATCAATATTTACATCAGTTCTAATTAACATATTATGAACATAAGGACCAATATTTCCTGCATTGAGAAAACAATAAGAACCCGATAAAAAATTACAAAAATTTCAAAAAAAATCAATTTAATGTTGTTAAACATTAAAATAATTTATATTTACAAAAAGAATTGTTTATTCTTTTCTATTTTAAATGTTAATCGATTTCTAATCCATTGCATATTCTCATCCAACATGTCATAAACAATAAACAAAAAAAAAATCATTTTTTGGTAGGTCGTTATTTAGGGTGAATTCCCAATTTTTAACTTCATATCATCTTAATTAACTCTTTATTATTTTATACTGGATTAGATGAGTAAGCATTTAGCCATTGACTAGATCTCACACAAGTCTTACCATAGTTTTAAGGGAGCGGCTTCTCTCGAACGGGAAGGCAGTGGAGAGAAGCCGCTCCCTAGTTTTAATCACAAAAGTTATCTTTATTTCTATATTTCCCCCCTTACTTATCAGCACGGAATGCACGACAACAACAGAGAAAAGGCCATTGGAAATCCAATTGAGGGGGGGGGGGGGGGATCTGCTACCATAATGGGCATAAAAGACCATACAATCATTGATCCCACTTCTCTCAAACAATCAAGACCTCGTGGCTAAATATAAACTACCAAAAATCATGACAACTACATGCCAGTGAACAAGCATATGAACAGTAGGGTAGAAAAGGAGAGAAGTGAAGCACAACATTAAGCACTAGAACTAACCACACCCGTAGTTTATATCTGGCTTCGCAGCAATTGCTGAAAATGGAACTTCAACTCTCTCTTTCACAACACATCGAACTTCCCCATCTTCTACCAGTGGGATTCTCCCTGGGGGGCATCTAGTTTTTGATCTTTCATCCTCACTTTCTGGTCGATGAAGCAGGCCCAAAATGTTGAGGTTCGTACCTAACTTCTTAGGTCCAAAACCAGACAAGCTCATGACGGATACCACGCCAACAACAGTGAGCACAGTTTTGGCTGCAGAAGTCACAAAAAATCCCAATCCTTTTCTTGCATTTTTCACGCCATCTTGGGCATGATTTTGCTCCTTCTCGCTCACACTCTTCCTCGATTGGACCTTCGGATCAATTGGAATTAACCCGTTGCAAACAGAATTATGCATCATGGTGTAGGGAGGACGGCTTGGATATGGAGGAAGAAGCAGATCATTGTTGTGCTCCACCGTTTCGCTAGCGAAGGTAGAAGCTTCTCGTATCACTTCCAGCTCCTTACCTTTGTACTCCTTGAGCTTATCAATTAACGTTTTGCGGCTTTGCTCAATCTCAGAAAGAGCAACTTCTCTTTCGTATTGCTGCTGGTGTTGCAGAACCTGGGTATTGCCAAAACAGTAAAGAGTTCTAAGTCATCAATTAAGAGTCCTAAAAACAAAGTATAAGAGAATAATAAGGATATTTCAATATGATCTTTCACGTCACACGTCTAACGATAAAATAAACTGAGACTGAAATAAGATAAAGCTAAATCAGCATTCATTCAGTCACACGAACAAAGTCCGCATCTCTAGCAAAACACCAGTTATACTAATTCAAAACAACAGTTATAAATCCTTGTAAAGGCAAAGAGCATAAAGGGCAAGAGTGGAGCCACGTCAATCGTCAGTTTCAATAAGTTTCATTTGACAGGCGACGAATGAAACATTCATTTATAATAACATAACATGCTACGGGACTTTGGCCAGGAAAAAAAAAAAAAAGCTACGGGATTGTCCTGTGATTAAAAGTTAACGGACACACCAAATTTATCTTATGCTGTCAAAATAATCTTGACCGCAAACAAGCGGTTCTGTCATCCAATTTGGTATAGCTATGGTGTGCATTATCCACAAGGACAAACTCTTTCTACCTGGTACAACTAGTTCGATTGTTTCTTCAAGTATATTAACACGTATATCCAGAGAGAAATTATGTGAAACTCTGGATGTAACTTTCATTACCATGAAAGGCTCGAATTGGGAATTGCAGGGTCAGCTGCTCCACTGTCATCAAGTCAACAGAATTATCGTGGAGATGGTCTCTTTTTAGATTGACAATACCATGACACAGGATGATTTTTCCACGGAATCAAACGTTTGGCAATGCATAGCACCCCCCTCCCCTCTAATTGATGGTACCACGAGCATAAGATGGGATTTTATTTCTGGAACTCTTGTAACATTGAGTAATCGGCAATACTGTGATTTGCATGTTGTGAAGCACTTTAATTTAATTTGTTCTTTTAAGTTAGAGCCTTAACTACAGGCGAAAATAGCTTATCTTTGTCAAAATATGAATGCCGGTGGTACTTAATATTCTAGAACCATGGAAGTATACAAAGTATTTAAGCAGAATGGGTAGTTTATCTTGAATGGGGTTACCAAGGTACATATAAGAAGTTTGGTCCCCAAGGAAGAGTACTTCAGAAATTTAGCTTTCAAGGGTAGCAGATTGCTTCAAGGGCTTTTTAAGCAAAGGAAAAGCTTCACTAGAGTTCAAGAGGGACATATATCCCACTATCTCTGGCCCTTATCCAGGGAACATCACAGGCTATAATCCTAACAATAAGACAGATCCCAAGACAAATGTTCCGAGCTTTTCTTCTAGATGAACTTTTTTTCACCCGTGCCTCTAGAGAGATGGAAAGAATTATTTCAGTTTATCCAACCGAGAAAAGAAACAAAATGCACAGGAAATTTGATCATGCAATGTCATACGATTAAAAAGAAAAATATCTCACAATGAAAAACCCTAAAAAAGAAAGGGGCTTTGGGGAAAACCTGCAAGGAAGATAACTGGTTCTCCAAGGATTCCAGCGCATCGCAAATGTTTAACAGCCTTTCTGCTTCTTCATCATTATCATCATCTTCGGGGTCATTTACTTCGTTCCCATCAGGAGGTTCAGTCGTTAAGGGGCCATTGGTAGGCGAGTACGCAGCAGGCGAGGCTCTGTGGATGCAATTGCTGATCTTCAATCTAAGTTCTGTAGCTCTGGCCAACACTAACCCTATTCCCTCGTCTTCCATTTAGGGTTCGTGAAATTTGACCTAAAAATCACTCACTGTTTCATCTTAATTCCCAGTTAACCGCCAAAAGACATCTCTCCTCACTGTATTGAGCGAATTCTAGTGATTCTAGTGATCCCCCAGCAGATAGAAAAGAAATTATGAGCTGCGGATTCTTTGTCTCTTTGCTTCGCTTTCTTTGTCATCGCTTTCAACGAAGCAAAAACACAATCTCCGTTCTTTGTTTTTTTCCACACCATGAAAAGGGCAAAAAAAGAAAAGAAAAAAGGGCCATCAATTTCATCCTTTCCCCCTTTTCTTTCTAACTTTTATCACAAAAAGAATATATTAATCCAGCGGGAATACAGATTTGTGGCCCGTAAGCATTATAAATATACTCTATATTTAAGAGAGAGAATAATAGGAGAGGATAAAAATATGCATAAATTTGTTTTGTCTCTTCTCCTATCCATATCTACATATACAAGATGCATTTACTAATTAAATGTCCAGAATTCAAATCTGTTTGAGCTTGTGGATTTATCAATTTTATTTATCAAATATCAGTTTATTGCCGCTGCATAAATATACTCCTTTCTGTCCGAGGTATATAAGAGTTAATTTGACATTCAATTTGGTCCTAGATATAAGATCTTCATTCATTTTGTTTCTTATATTTACCCATTTCTTTCAAAGCATTCCTTATAGTAATTGCACATGTTAAATGTTCTGTCAGAAGATAGTTTTAACTAATACATATGATTAGTAATGATATTTTAGAAAACATAATACATATTTATTATAAATAACTAAATTAACAAATTTTCTCAATTTTTTCCAATTAATCAACTAGGTCTTTTATTTAGCCGCTGTATGTTTCTTCTCTTGCATTGCATGAGATAAGATATTCATCTTTGATTTTAGCCTTTTAGGGGCGTCATTGTCTAAATATATCACTTTAGCCTCTCACATATTGTTTGAAACAGAGAATAAATAATATTGAGGGTGAAATAGATTGAAGAAAACTATATAAATGTATACACACACAATACAGACACACATATTGCACTCCTGATTTTCAAATATCAGAATGCTATGTGTTGAAGTTTGTCCTTTTTTCTTTTTAATAAATGATTCCATGAAAAAGATGCTAACTTCCTGTCACAATATTAAAAATTCACCTGACAAAGTAATTACAGAGACTCGCAAAATTTACCTAGAGAGAACCTTCACTATGATATACAATAATGAACTGATCACCGTTGGAGGGCGTGGCCTCTAGTATAAACATCACTTCAATTGACTACTCAATTCTCTGGTCTCTACAGCACTAAGCATCAGCGCAAACTTGTCAATAAGGTTCTTAAATAGACTAGGAATGACAATTGAATCATAACCATTGCTTGATAAATCATAACCATGCCAATCAAGCAAGACTAATGATTTACAAGCTTCATTGTTCATATGAACACAAAACATTTAGGATATGTTTTGGGTTGAAGGGGAAGGGAGGAGAAGGACAGGAAAGCAAGGGATAATTATTTTCCTAATTCTTGCTTAGGAAATAGGAAGATTCTCTCTTCCAAAAATTTTCAGATTGGAAGAAATAGGGAGGATTTTAGGAGATTTTTAAAGGATAGGGAAAATTCTTCATCATCCTAACTCAATAAGAGCTATGCTTGAATTAAGCTTTCCCTTTCCCTTTTCTCTTATCTCCAGCCAAACATATCAACATAGAAGCTTGCCTTCTGGGCTGCCACTTCCAGGTTGAACAATTTCACTTCAGTCATGCTAGGAGGCTCAAGTGTTAAATATCATTCCAATCTTGGTTCATTTCGACATCAAGTCTTCTGCCTCGTCCAAGAAGGAGCTTGTGATTTTTTTCCTTCTCATGATTATCCTGAATTAAGATTCTTCTGTCATTCCAAGCTATGATGCTAATATCTACTGAGGCATGTGATTACCAAGCTAACTCCTTCGAAATCAAGTAATTGAAACTGAAGTCATGAGGGACCAACTCAATGCCTTTCCAGCTTGCTTTTGATTGAAACTCTTGATTGATTTTCCTTTGAGAATTAGGAAGGTTATTCTTGACCACCTCCATCAAACCAACTGCCCCAAGACGTGAGCTTTTTGCAAAGAAATCAACTATCTTTGGAATAAGTATTTTCTGTTCCTTGGTCACAGAGATGGTAGATTGAATGTACTCGTCTTTCGCAGATTCAAGCTCCTCCGAGACTCTCTTGGATGTATACAAACGCACCTGACAATGTTGCAACCAGCAGAGGTTAAGAAGGACGCTACTTCTCAAGCAAGAATAACTTAGCTTATATTCAGACTATGAAAATGCGCCATTCAAGTGATCAAGAGCTGCAGAAATATTACTTCTGTCTCCTTGAGTTTACACCAAGAGACAGAACAAATATAAGTAGGCAAAAGCATACCGCAGGATCAGAACGGCTTCCTGAACTGAGGGCAAATAGCAACAAAGGTTCTGGTCGGTGTATTGCATATGCTTTTCTTGCATCTCTAACCTTAAGTTTTGTTTTTGTAGGAAACAAAATCTGCAGCCACTGGGAGAAAAGAATGGGGCATTAGTGTCATTTAATGTTCGTAAGAAGCCTTTGAACTTCTTTGAAGTGCAGAGTTTTGAGAAAAAGTTGACATAAAGAATAAAAGCATATATTAGAAAATTTCCCCTCCTTTCTTCTCTTTTTGAACTCTGCAAGAACTTCAGAATAAATAAATCTAAAGGGTTCAGACTCCATCTGCTACTTTGCTTGTAATGTAAAATAGTAATGAGAAAAAGTTTATGTGGAAGTTTCAGGTTTTCAGAGTTACTTGTCCCGGACGAGGCAATCTGCATCCCAGAATCGAGTTCTGTATGAGTTCTACGCTTACATTATGACCCCCAATGTTATATGCAGCCTGAAGACCATTATCAACCAGCTTAATTCAGAAGGACTTCAGATCATACCAATGGATTTTGTCAGTTCAATATTAGGGACCAACTCACCTTGAGTACTGTAGAAATTCTTTTGGCATTATTGGCTGAAATTCCATAAACTAATAAAGCCTGTAGATGAGAGACAACAATATGGTAGGTTTGTCTTCAAGACTTGGAAAAAAACTATAAATCAAATAACGTTGAAAGTTCGAAAAGTTTACATGCATCACTAGGGTGTTGTGCACATTGATCCAAAAAGCTAGCTTTTCTTCATGCTCCAAGTTTCTAGGATTAACATCTTCCAACCGAGAAACAAGTGACCTGCAAGAAAGCAAGACATAAAGGGAAATTTTCTTAGCATATTGACATAGTTGTAAAGGTGCGAATGATATGCTAATATTGAAAGGCAACTGTTTATTTTAAAGGAGAAAAGTAAAGCCGCGTTACTTAATGCTGCATTCGGTTCTCCAGCTTAAACCCTTACCTTGACAAAATCCTTGAAAGATTTATAACTCTAAGCTAAGCATATCTTAGTCTCTTGAGAGTGGGTAAAGAACATCAAAATTAGATCCTAATCCTCTTATCAACAATGGCTCGTGATCAATCCTCAATCCTACATACATCTTAATACTTTATGGCATTGTTGATGTTTTCAAATTTCATACTAAATCTAATATGTAGTTGCCTTGTTCAGCGAATGAATCTCTTAGGATGAAGACTTACGGAACTTAAATTGCAAAGATGGCTCACCTAAATCTCCGCAGCATGTACTCAACTTCTTTTAATTTTTCACTATCTCTGCTTAACTTGTGAATCTTTACCATTGAGCAATAAGGTCCGCCAAATTCTTTTGATCCTTTGATGTGGAAAGGGTTGTTAAAGTTTAAATTGAAGGGTCGATGTTTCTTCCACCGTGAGGCCTGCTTATTTCCCTCGCCTTGTGAAGAAAACTCATATGCTGATGATGAAAATGGAATAAAGGACGAAGCATTATCATGACCAACAAAAGGAGGGTCTGCAAGTTCACAATATATAGCTGATATGCTCTTAATCATCTCCTCAGAAAGCCAGTTTGGGGTCTCTGGAACTATATCAGAAAAGCAATTTCCCAGATGCTCAGCCAGGGAGATTGAACTGCAGTTATTACTCTGAGCTTGCTGATAAAATATAATTTCCATAGAACACCAAATTAGAAAACACTAAATTCAAGAAGTAAGGTAGATTAGTGGTAGCGGAAAGATACCACCACCATGGATTTCATATAAATCTTAATAGTTTAAGAAACAAGTGTCATATAACTACTTATCTAGTCTGAAAATTAAATATGTTGACAAAATTTAAAACTTGAATGCTGGGCTTCATGATGATGACATGGAGTAAATGCAATTTCATTCGGAAAATATAAAAGACAAGTCATCGAGTCAACTGCAAACATTCCAATTGGGCAAATTTTGGGCTATTTAGGCAACTTTGTTAATGTCAGTACAATTAACTGATACAATACCAATATTTACTTGATGTGCTCTTGAAGACATCCACGCTAATATGATCGTGATTAACCTTTAAGGAGCAAAATCGTGGCAATGGTATGTTTGAGGGACCAATAACTCAATATGACATATGAGGAAGTAAGAATTACTCCCGTCAGTTGTTCGAACTTACCTCTAGCATAGACAACGGTAGAGAATGGAAAGTGTCCAAAGCTTTGGCCTGAGAAGTTTCGATGAAGCAAACTGATTGCTGGGATAGGGTGGAGTGACTTCGATGAATACTTGAGTCCAGAACAGCTTCTGGTTCTAACTCTTTCTTGCATTCCTTAAGGGGAAAGCCAACTGAATTTCTGGGCGACAGGAGATTATGTTCACGAACTGAAATCTCTTTCTCAGAGACAGTAACTGTCCCACTTACTGATGAACTTCCTTTTTTGGTGTCTGAATCTGTTTCCAATCTTCTTTCCTTGGCTGATAGAGACAATATTTGATGATCAAATCTTTTCCGATACAGCGAGAGAAGATATTGTTCCAAGTACACTACTTCTAATTCTAATACGCCAATTTCCTTAATTAGTTCCTTGGTCGCCTAAAATTGAGAAACAAAATACACACAATCAAAAGAAAAATCCAGCAAAGTCAATAAGCCATTGAGAGCATCCATTTAGGTGTTCAAGGGTATACCATTGGCATCGAGTTTTCTAGCGCAGCATCTTGTGAGGAAGGCAGGTAACATGCTTTCTCTAATGCACTTCGTACCACAAATTGTTGATGCAATCGTTTTTGAAGCATGAAAATCTTCGAAGACATGAAAAACACAGTATTTAAGAACAATAAGCCAGATGTTTGTGGATAAATGGACTAATCAGCTGCTAGTTTTTCACAGTGTCAAACAGAGTTTCCATCAAGAGATAGAAAAGGATGTATAAAAATCTTTTAAAGATCCCTAATTCCCTATTATTTTGCCTTGCAAAGCATATACTTGTGGCAGGAAGAAATTTGGCGGCAAGAACACGGGCTGTTAACAAAACTTTGATTACTTAACGGTCTATAGTGAAGAGAATAGAGAGACAGAAAATTAACTCTAAACCATCATAAACTATGTATTTATGAGCTTATCAGTAGCTATCTCTTATAGAGGAACTAAATCAGTTGAGAATATAAGTACCTCTTGAGTCAAGGAACTCTGAAGATCAATGTTATGGTATTGCCTCTTCTTGGATTCATTGCTTTCCACAAGCTGGTCCATTTCATTTTTTTAATGGAGAAAATTAATAAATTACCATATTAAAACAGGCAAAATCTAGGTAGGCAAAATAAGAGGAAAATATTTATTTGCAGTGCTCACAAATCTACAGCGATTAGAGATATACCATGCTTGTGTGAAAAGAACTTTCAGTACCGTTATCCCATAATCCATCTTCCCCGACTCTTCTTTCCATAGGATCACTGCCATTCACAGTGATAAAATCTCAGGTTTACTGAGGTACAATGGAGCCTATGAATATGCAGTAAACAGAGAAAAGCTCTCTCACAGGATAATTATTTGTTGAATGTAAACGATGAGGCAAGTATGGAAAATTTAACCCTCTAGTTCAAATCAAACTGATGAGCATAGCACCCTTCAGCAATGTGTTTATTTGCACAGAACCACCGTGCATCGTGTTCGTAAGAATTTCTTCTATCTTCAGTTCATTTAGTTTAAGAAGACCACAACTTTGAAAGAAGAGATGAAAATGAAACTCTTGAACTAAAGATAGAACAGAGAATTTTCAGAGCGAAAACCTTTTAGAGCGCTTGTGACTTGAAGGTAAAACTGTCGAGTCCATGAGCTTGAATTGCTTGTATCCAGAATCGCGCCACTTTATTTCATGCATATGTTATTGTGTCAGGATTCGCTTTCCAATCTTCAACGCTGTCAAAGGATGCACCAAAAAATCATTAAATGCATCAAATACCACCATCAGATACTGACAAAAACGGAAGATACATCCAAAATGCATTAATTCATAGCATTACTCTGCATATTCGCTGCAGAAACTAAACTATCATAGAATGAGACTTCTCACAGAGACAAAGTTTTTTAAAAGCTGGACCAAAATTGGGGCATGAAAAGAAACCAAATGGGTTGCAAGTTATATCTATTTCAAACCCATATACACCCCCTCTGTCCCCTTTTTGAACTCATCAGGCAAATGCTGCAATCAAACCAGAACTGTACGAAGAGAACAACATATGGTGCTCATAAGATTTATTTTTGCAAAGTTGGATCTTTTTCATTGCATCAAAAGAAGAAATTGAGGTCATAGCTTTTGAAGAATAAGATATTTCAAAGTAGCACTTGGGGATAATCAAAGGAAAGGACAAGAAACAGGAAGGCAAACTGAGATATGTACAAACAAGAGTATGCTACACTGTCATCAACAATAATGCAAACAGTCAAACACTTAACGTGCATGTATAAAGGCACACCAACTTTGGAGCTTTTTTGCTGGTGAGCTTTTTGCATTTGCGTAAAAAGAAGTAAATTAGTCTTGCATGAGCTTTAATAATAGTATGTTAAAAGAAGAGATCTTCACCGTTTAGAATGAAAGGGAGTGACAAGGTGGGTTGGCAGTTCCTTCCACTCGTGCACTTCATTTCCTCTCTGTTCCGTCATTCAAGAAAGCATGAGAATAACATTTTTACCTTTTACATAGGCTAACTATGTACTTCTAAGTCTTGAAAAGTTTAGTCTTTTGAAATGGGTTTTTTCCTTTTCCCTGACTTGACTCAACCATGGACATTTTATTTTCTTCTCACCTTCACCCACCAAAAATGGCTTTAGCCAAACAAGTTTTGCCCCTGGCTTAATGTGATTGAATTGGACTCAACATTTCAGGGAAGATGCCATATGTTTTCAAGTTTTGCTTGAAACTAATTTTTCCTGCTTGAGGATCCGAAAGTCATGCTCCTTCGTATATATTTTTTTGTCCTATACCAGATAACTACTGACACTTAATGATAATATTAAACCCTGAAATTCTCCAACCCTACTAACGTCTTGAAATTGACGCTACTCTTTGATCAACTTGCATAAATTAATATTTCATGTTTCACAGTAATAACTATTGCGCCTCTTTTATTTTTTATAGAAGTATAGGTAAATTGGATTTGTGCACTGACCAAAGTAAGAGCAAGTCTCATGGTCAAAATTATAAGAGGTAGATACAAATTATCTATCAATAATTTTCTCGGATTAACTGTGGAATTTAAAGCTATATCTTTATAGGATATAAGTTCATCCTTGATAACTAGATTAAATTTTGTTGGTATATTGGGTCTTTGTTAGCATCTCACATTCACTTCCTGCGAGAGATTACTTTAACTTTTAAAGATTAAAGATGTCAACAAAAGTCAATTAAAGATTCTAAAAATGAAAACTTTCTTAAAAATCATGTAAATAAATTATGGTTGTTACCTTTGAAAGTTATAAAGATGCTTTGAGGCTACGTCTTGATCTTTTTAATGTTATAAAGTTGTTTTAAATTCGTTATTAACTTCAAAAAATATGAATATGAACTTTACTTGATGACAAATTTTAAATTTCAAAAGTTTTGATTATCATTAATAACATAAATTTTAGACTTGTGATTAGATCATTTCGGTGAATGAACTTGGACTTCAAATATTCCAAATGTTGAGACAACACAAACCAACTTCATCTACTGATTAGACTGCAAAAACTGTTTTGAGAGCAATTTGTAAGCAACAACTCTAAAACAACTGAATATTCAATCTTGATTTTGGTGAAATTTGGTGGGAAGAATGGGGCCCTAACAAGAGAATGAATTGGTGGTGAAAGGAAAAGAGGAAGGCGCACTTGAACAAAAAAGCAAACCTCAAAAGGGCTGAAAGTTGATTGTCAAACGAAGAACCAATCCACATTTTGCTGATATGAAGTGACTGCTTTTGTAGGCTGTCCTTTTTTTCTGTCTAATTCCTCTCTCCCCCCCTCTCAGAAACTTGGATACAACTAGTTCCGCATAAGTCAATTACTTTGCTGAGGGAAAAAGTGGCTTGCCTTTTCTTATTGGATAAGCTGCTCCACGTACACAAATCACAGATATATAATAGTATTCGTCCATCAAAGCGGTGGAGTTAAATGAAAGAGAGCTAATTATAAGGAAAAAAATTAAGAGTTTAATTTGGTCAAAAGTAAACTTTTGGTGTCTAATTGTAGATTAAATTATTTGTAATTTTGGATAATTTAGATGGCATTTAAATCTTTGTGATTTGATTAATTAGTTAAAAGAAAAGCAATTCATACTGAATTTGAGAATAATGCAATTTAATCAATATAATTAGGTCAATTAGAAATAACTTGACATCTCTAAAAAGTGAGCTTGCATCAGCGTTTTCCTTCCTTCAAATGCATGTTCATTCAAAAGCTTCTGTTATTTGCATGCACTGGAATGATGCAAATGCCCAAATAGACTTGCTCTAATCTTAATTCCAGTCTTACAAGAAGAAAAAAAAATCACAAATAAATATTCTACTTGGGGTTTGTAGTTCAAATCAAAATTGAAGGGATGGTCATTGGAAAAATGAGACTGTAACTTGCAACTAAATATGACACTATGATCTCATCTCTATGTCATTATCATATATATCAATTCTTTTTTGCTTTTAATATACTATCATCTCTATTCTTCTGAACAGCAAAGCTTTTTTCATGGCTTACCAATTTATTTATTCACTTTGATTCTTATCTCCTACCACAGTTATTATTGTGGTTTCACTTTTTCTCCGTGACCATTATTGCTTAGCCTCCATATTTCAACTGCTTGCAATAGAAGTTAAAACCAAAAACGCTTCTGATAACTTCTTAACAAACAATATTGTAATATTCCATGAAGTGTTGTCTTCTTCTAGATAGTTTGGTAAGGGGTTAGAGTCAACTTTGAAAACCAAGCACTTGTGATCTCAATTTCTCATTGAGAAACCACAAAAAGATGCTTCAGATTCTCTGACCAAGTCATAAATATTGATACACCAGAAGAAACTGACAGACATACTTGTGGGTTAATTAATGAAAACCAGACCATGAAACCCTTTCTGTGTTTTCCATGAAACCAGAGCCAACAAAGATTCTGCAGACTCCAAAACTCTGAATTAGTGCAAAGCATAACTAATACTACTACAAGGAGCTGAGCTTACTTAGCTTAGACCGTGTATTATAAAAAATTATGGGAAGGCCTAAGAGGTAACAACAAACAAGACATGTCAGGAAAACTTTTCGAAGAAAACATAAACAGAAGTGTCTTGAAGTTTGGTACAGTCACAGAAATCAACAGACAAGGTGATCGAAGAAATCGTATTTGTGATGTTTTTTAAGAGCGTCATTAATGGAACCTTCCTTTATAATTATAAGTAAGCAATGCATATTGGGGTTAGTAACATTTTATAAGGTTGTCAGAAAGAAGTTCGTTCAAGAAGGAAAAACCGAATCTTTACATTGAGATTAGTGAGGCATGGAAAACGCAGTGTGAAATGAAAGG